ACAGGATGAAATTTGACCTCTTAAATGCTATCTTGACAAAACAATTTGGCATTATAAGAATAGGAAAAGGCTATTCCACTTATCAGCTCCCTGATTGGGTATTAGAAGAAACTGGAACAGCTAAAGCATACCAGCGTCATTTTGGATCTGAAGATTTAAATTCATCATCCAAGCTAAGTTTATCCTGTGGATCTTGTAAGGCAGACTTCAGTAAAGATGAGGACATGATTATACAGGGTAAGTCATATCAATTGCTATGTAATTTGTGACTCTTTTCATTTTGATGTTTTTTCTAGATGTTTTCCTCGCAAATTTGACTCCTTTTTGGATGTTTTTTGTCAAAGAAAAGTGGCAACACTGGCCAGGAACAAACTCACTAGGGGTGGGGGAGGGGGGGGGGGGTCGGCATTTAATCAATGCTAGACTTTTCATATATATTACTAGGGCCTAAACAATCGTGTCGTAATAGTGGACTAATTATGGGTGTTTTCTTGAGTCGGGGTGCATTTGTCCGAGAGAACCGACAGTCTGCACAGAAATAAGCCACATCTGTAAGGCGAATTTGCACGCAAACCTCAAGTTTCGGAGCAAGAGGCATGACAAGATCACAAAAACTGAGGTTTTGGAAAGAGCAGGCATTACAAAAGTTTTCTAAATGCTCAGTCTAAGAATGCTCAGGTGGCTAGGTCACACCTGGAGAAAGGAGGACGGCAGAGTCCCTAAGGACATTATATATGGTGAATTAAAGATGGGTAGAAGATGTCGAGAACGACCTCTACTACGATATAAAGATGTGAGCAAGCGGAACATGAATGATAAAGGTACTGAGGTGGCCTCGTGGTAACGAAATACTATGGACCATGTTTTGTGTGGAGGGGGTACATCAGGAAGGGAGTGAGAATGAAGGAAGAAATGATTGCACAAAGTATGAGAGCTGAGCGTCTGAAACAGACTAAACACACCTGTTGACAACAATGGTCTAGAATATCCCGTCGTTGTCCCTAAGTGCACCCAAGACTGATATCCCCCTACCCTCCACCTAATAATACTGACACCTCTGTTTAACAATGTAGCAAACAGGCACATGTAATGTCTGCTATATACAATAGGAAAGTTATAGTTGTTTATCCACGTATGGACCTTGGTCTTGTTTAAGAACTTGAACTTTGCATGCACATCCAATAAAAAAAATATAGTTTATTGTATGCAGACACTTGGTTCCTTGTCTCTCATCCATAAGAAAACAGTTGACCTCTGGTTTATTTATTTTTTTTTTTTGCAAGGCGAGCAGTAGATTCGATACTCAAAGAATGGGTATAACTCCAGTTAATATTACCTTTTAATGATTGTGACTGTAATGATTAGAAATGTCCGTAAACTTTGTCGCCAACAGCACTGTTAATCTCGACAGTGCAGTCATAAGGGCATCTGCAAATTTAACCCGTCTACTGATAACTTTTAGGGGGATTTTATTAGCTCACTGAATATGTACTAACAGTCAGTTACACATACATTTATGTCCTGTAAATACAATCCTTTTGTGTATCATTCACGATATCTTTCCATTGAAATATGGCAACGACTGCTGCTCTCTCCCTCTTCGAAGGATTTGAAAATCACTACCTGGCGATATTTTTTTGTTGTTGCTGTAACTGACATTGACATCCCTGTCCATCTGGACTAAAATAGGGAGCAGGAATTGTAATGGGTAGTGAATGGGGCTAGTGTAATATTTACCACATCATCATTCAAGTACCAGTACAACTACTAAAATAATGTCACTGCTATCTGTGTTACCATCGGAGTAGACAGAGAGTCGTGAGTCAGAAGATTTGGTTCCGCATGGCTAGTGCTGTCGCCACAGACTGATATGGTTAGGATGTATAATTTCGCTTCCCGACAGAAGGACGACATAACCTTACCGGCGGTCTTCACATGAGAGCACTACGGTGTAACAGCCCAACCACAACTATTACTGCTGCTGCTACTTTAAGTGGGTAAAGCAGTTACTGTGACTTAAAGCTCTCTCAGTTAATAGTCCCCCCCCCCCCTTTCCCCCCAAATTCACCGACAACTCTTTCCCTCATTGAAGTAGTTGGGAGAAGAAAAAAAAACACACTTGAAAAGCAAATGAACACAGGAAAAAAAAACACCATAATTAGGAAATGAACGCCATGGTAAACAGCACAGCTTAAAATTCCAACGCAGATGAAATAACTAACTCTAAATGAAAATAAATGAAAATCTATGAAATTTCAGCGTAACCATGCAATCGGAAAGTTTAAAAATGCAATCATAAGTATGCGAAATGGTGAAATTTAATTATCAAACGGTTTACCCATTTACTTGTTTTTTTTTTTTTTTTATTAAGGCAACATGGCTAGTGCTGTCACCACGACAGAGCAGATGAGGATATTATTTTATTCCGGGGTAAAAAAAAATATTAATCTACTGCGGATTCGAACCCAGGTCTCCCGCACAGGAACTCAGTGTTCTAACCATTCGACCAACCAGCCAATTAATCAGATCTACGAAAAAAAAATTTAACTATTAGAGATGTGTGTCCCTGCTACTGTGTCGCGATTAAAACATAATTAAAAACCGCAGGCAATTGTTTTCTCGTAGACAGATACTAAAGACATATTAATGAAACGGCACAACAATAGAAATCGCACGTGTCTAACATGGTTAATGAAGTTAATGTCGCAGTCACTGTCTGCGCCGACGTCGAGATTTTTTTGATTGCCCCCCCCCCCCCCCCCCCCTTCCCCATCGAAGGTTGTTTGAAAAAAAAACAGAAAATAGAAATCGTGTTTAATATGGTTATTGTGGCAAATATAGAGATAGTCTTGTTTGCTGTACCACAACCTACTCTATATATTAGAGAAGGCGTTGGCTGCACGTAACTCGCCGGCGAATGGTAACTACGGCGCATGCGCAATTACTAACGTGGCTATAATTAGAAATCACTAAAGTTATAAATATTAGTTTCGGATATTATGGATTAAATTGTGGTCACCTATCTCTAACAGTGACAGGTTGAATTTCAAACCACGATGGTTCAAAATCCGGTATCAAAATTAACATATCCTGAAAATTTCAGCTAAATCGGTTCAGTAGTTTCCGAGTCTATAGGGGGCAAACAAACACACAAACATTGATTTTTTTTAAAATATAGATATATATTAGGGCTGTACCGAATATTCGCTTCGTATTCGCTTCGGAGCCGAATAGTGGACCTATTGACTATTCAGTATTCGGCCGAATAGTTGCGGTCGGGCCGAATACGAGTAGTGGTTACCTTACACTTGCTTCTGCGTACACGGCCTAAATGCTGACAACATGGAACGATTGGCTTTGTTGAAAGCTAATGCAGCTTTCCTGCATTAACTAAGCTGTCAGTGACAATTTCCAAGTTTAGTTACTTGTTATAATACTTAGGATTCTTTCATTCCTAGTTATTAGTTACCACAGACTGACTGAAGGATGCAAAACATAAAATATTTTTTAATGTTTACTATTTTGTACGGATACTAACTATACATGGAAAGAAGTTCGGGGGATAATGTCCAGCCAGGCCTGCAAACAACTGGTGTCACAAATTGGGAAGAGAAGGCCAGCCAGAGAGATGAATGGAGACTAATGGTGTCTGCAGCAGTAAACCTCAATGGCTCAGAATGCTAAAGAAGAAAATGACTATTCTGTACTATTTTTTGTGAAGTAACAGTTCAGCGTACATTTGATATTATAATTTTTTTTTTTTTTTTTACACTATACACTATTTCGTATTCGGCCGAATAGTTGGTCCCGTAGTGAAAATCACTTTTCGGTACAGCCCTAATATATATATATATATATATATATATATATATATATATATATATATATATATATATATATATATATATATATATATACATCCAAATGCTGTTACGCCGAGGGCGGGGCTGAGGATAAGCTCTCACTCTCCATGAAATACCCTCAAGGCATGCGTCTCTCAAAGCCTCTGACAGTAAAAGTCCAACTCCTGGCCTTCTCGTGGCGGAGATGTTTAAACTAACAGGAGAAGGGGTGAAAGCGGGTCTCTGGCGCTTTAACCATACGCTTCGGGTAGATGAGGCTCGTCAGTACAGGAGTGCAGCCCATCTAGGAGAAGGTAAACTCTGATTTCAAACCACAGGCAGATGAGGCTCGCCAGCACGGGAGTGCAGCTCATCTAGGAGAAGGTAAACTCTGACTACACACCTCCACTGCCTTGTGGCATACTCATTTTTGGGAAAGCGCTTCAGGATTAAACCCTGAGGAAAAAATCCGGAGCTGGAATCCCTAAGGCGGTTTAGCATTGTATACGATATCCATAATACCGAGCCTAAGGGCTAACAACTCATGGCTTCTGGATACTAAAACAAACAAACAACAAATTCATAACATTATATTACTTGATCAAGGCTTATCGTTTCATCGTCATCACTCTCAATAGTCATCAAATAAATAAATCGGGGGAGGGGGGGGGGAGACCAGTGTTCTTCAACAGCTGGGCAAGGGGAAATTCCAGGCGGGCCGCAAAATAATTCAATTCTTGCTAACTGAGTAAAGGAGTCGGATATGTAGTCTTTCTCTTCCAGGACTGCAGTCTGTAAGATTAATATCTCAAGGATGAGCATCAAAAGACGTCACAATGGCTGAAACTTGTAACTATAAAACATCGGATCTAAATAAATACACCGCTGTCTACGTTTGTTTTTGGTTAGCTGTCAGGTGGGCCACGAAACAATTCTCACTGTTTTTTAGTGGGCCGCTGGTGAAAAAAAGGGTTGAAGAACCGTGGCGTAAAAAAAAAAAAATCAACAATTTGGCAACCTTTAGCTAATTCATCTGGCAATGTCCATAGACCGGAAGTAGACATTCAGATGAGTATCGTACGATTTGCAGGCAGCATAGCGTCTGTTCTAAGGGACTTGTTATAGTACTTTGCGTTCAGACAGGGATATCTTTAAAATATGTCTTCAGATACAAAAGCTGGCTCTGTAGTAAGACATCCTTACTTGCCTAAAAGTCTCAGCCTTCCACATTATGTTCCAAACGCTAAAGATCTAACCGAAATCCTAGGATTTCTGGGAGTCACGTCCCTGCTCATTGTTGTTGGGACTTGGATATACACCGGCCGGCGTAAGGAACCCTTCAACTTCATAAGAAGGGTAGCTCTATGCTGGTTTATGTTGTGTGCTTTTATACATATAGTTATTGAAGGTTACTTTGCCGTATATCACGCCACACTTGCAGGTCACACGTCACTACTGGGAGAAATGTGTGAGTATAGTTATAGTATTATTTCGGCTCTGCTTTGAATCGTTCCCCAAAATGGCGGCCTTAATAAGATGGCGTTCGAAATGGAGCTAAATTGGCCAATTTCTGGCCATAAAATATCCAAAAATATTCAAATGCGGGTCAGTTCTATTAAAAATATATGTGCCGGCTCCGGAAAACGAAACAAATGGCTTTGACAGGGTCTCGGCGATACGTTACTTGCTGACCTGCTTCTGCGAGTGTGCCTTACCGCCGAGCGTATCCTCTACGCGCGGCGCGGATGGGGGCTAAACTAGATGGCTGGGACTCACGAGTGGCAGCTACCGCATCTCCTGCAACTTCCTCCATTTACTGCACTCGTGAGTCCCAGGCACCTAGGTTAGCCCCCATTCGCGCCGCACATAGCGGCGCGGAGGATACGCTCAGCGATGAGTTTAATCGCGTTTGGCGCATCCCGACAAGTCTGACATCTACCGCTGCTAAATCCTCCAATCGGAGGAACACAGTATTGCTAATCGGCTTTCATCGTCTGTAATGTCTCGAAATTGGTTAACGGTCGCTAGTATCGTCTGCAGAAACGCTCGAAATTGTTGTCAACGGTCGGTATTTATCCTCTGCTTCTAGTACAGTGTGCAAATGTTGATATTGATTGTCAAGTAATCCTAGTTTTGCCGCGATTTGTTCCTTGGCAGAAAGTCCATATTTTAGATATACGCGAACACCGTAGTTTGGATATTTTATGGCCAGAATGTGGCATGCTGCCATTTTGGGGAATGATTCAAAGGAGTGCCATTATTTCTAACATATTATTATTATGGCTCTCCTAGGTGCCTTGGACTCGTGAGTACAGTAATTGGAGAAAGTTGGAGGAGATGCGGTAGCTGCCGCTCGTAAGTCTCAGCCATCTAGTTTAGCCCCCATCCGCGCCGCTATGCGCGGCGCGGTGGATACGCTCGGCGGTAAGGCACACTCGCAGAAGCAGGTCGGCAAGCAACATATTGCCGAGACTCTGTCAGAGCATTTGTTTCGTTATCCGGAGCCGGCACATATATTTTTAATAGAACTGACCCGCATTTGGATATTTTATGGCCAGAAATTGGCCAATTTAGCTCTCTTTCGAACGCCATCATATTAAAGCCGCCATTTTGGGGGACGATTCAAAATAGAGCCATTATTATTAATATTGTCTTTATTTTATTGTTCACATAGTTGAATTTTTGGCTCTCCTTTGAATCGGATGAGGACTAAACTAGATGGCTGGGACTCAGGAGCAGCATCTCCTGCAACTTCCTCCAATTACTGTACTTGTGAGTCCCAGGCACCTAGTTTAGCCCCCATCATAGCGTAGCGGCGCGGGGGATACGCTCGGCGATGAGTTTAATCGCGTTTGGCGCATGCCGACAAGTCTGAAGTTTGAAGGGGAGCTGAAAAGGCTGTATTTCATGGGGGGGGGGGGGGGGGGTGCTGTACATGAAAAGAACTGACATTCAGACTCACAGGAAAGTTTATGTCAGTATGTGAAAAATATAGCACTTTGTTAAAATGTACAATTGAAATATTATTTGAATACAAGTAATCTTTTAAAAAGTAGTGATTACGTGCAGCCATTCTTTATTGTAGAGATTTCTCTTTGCTGAAGTACTATTTGCTCTTAGCAGAATATTTATTTTGTATCAGTACAGTACTCGTCAAGCGGTTAGTTAGAAATTCATGTTGAATTAATGCAGATGTGGATATACAGAAACATAGGTTGTGTTTCATGGACACAGGAACAAACACAGAGGTTCTGATAAGAGTGGAAATTTAAAAAAAAAAGTTTCTAAAAGCAATAAAATGGCTTGTTTGATCTGGACTGTTCATCCTTTGCATACCATTTATTCTTCTATAAAAGGATGTGGCCAGTTATCTGCCAAACACATCTGAATGTGATGAAATCAGTGATTCACTGACTTTTAGATAGTATATAACATACATTGTTTTAATTTCTAAACTGTTTAATTTGATAACTGTAATTATTACATTATCATTGAACATGGCAAACTCAGTCATTTTTATTTTTAACACACTTGTGCATTCTGTTTTAGGGAAGGAGTACGGGCGTTGTGATAGTCGCTATATCAGGTTTGTATTTGCTTAACATTTTTGTGTGCATGTACATTTCATAACCTTTTTGCTAGAAACAACTATTTGGTATCATGTGAAAAAAAAAGCTTTTATCCCCGGTTTTTTTCATAATGTTTTATTTTTTAACAGCACAGGTTTTTTTAACATCTTTCGGGAACGTCTGCCGCACCTGTATGGTTGCAAGAGCATAGTGTGTAGATGTATCAGGTTTTAATCTTGACACCACAAAAAAATATAACCTCTTCTTATTTGTTATTCTTCGTTGTGCCTGTTAGCAGATGTTCATTTTTATCCGCACATGTTTCTATTGACAATTTAGTGAAACTTTTTTTTTTTTTTCACATGTGCATCTGTTCCACAAACTCTTCAAATAGTTCATTTTCATCAGTACATGCTTCTGTTCACAAATCTATAGAAAGAGTTCATTTGTATTCACATTTATTTCCATTTACAATATTTTAAGACCTAGGAAGAAGACAACTATGCAAGTACCTTATTGCAGACTTTTGAGAACAGTCTTATGATAAATTGTTGGACTTAGATGAAGACAGTAGAGAATAGAGAGAGGCAACAATGAAATTAAAATTTTATTGTGGGAGTAGAGAATAAGGCAGACCAAGATTATGAAAATATGTTTGAAGCAGACCTACTAATACTTGGAGTCACCTTTTAAAAAAAAAAAAAAAAGATAAAGCTAGTCACAGGAATGATGGAGGTGGGTGATATCTGCAGCAGTGCTAATCAAAAGCTTGGAATAGTGAAGAACACTGAGGTAGCTGTTCTTGAATCAACATTCTAGCTTGCAGTCTTTGTGAGTGGACAGGAAATAGTTTGCCATTCCATTTGTAGTTTTTTTTTAGTTTTTAGTTTAAACAAGAAGAAATATTCACAGTATAGAAGTTATTATGGTTTATCACATATTGTATTGGCCGTGGGTAATATATTTCAGTTTCTCTTTTAACTTTTCAATTTCACACAGCTCTGACACATTCACAGTCTGCATGGAACGTATTACAGCAGTCATTGATGGACCCCTGGCGTTGATGACATTTTTTGCCTTCATGAACGGAAGCAACTACCGCTATGCCCTGCAGATGATTCTGTCCTTGTGCCAGCTCTATGGAGATGTTCTGTACTTCCTCACAGCAATCAAAGATGGCTTCATTCACGGACCCACAGACAGCTACTTGTATTTTGGCTTCTACTTTCTGTTTTTAAATTCCTTGTGGATTTTAATCCCAAGTGTACTAATCATAGACTCAGCTCATCACATTGCAGCGTGTCAAACAGTGTCTGACTTCTACATTGATGAGTACAATCGTCGGCAGGGCTCTCATACTCAAAACAATCACAAGAAGCTTCATTAATCAAAACATACACTAGTTGTAAACAGTTTTAAGGTTTACTTAGCACGTATATTTTATTTTGTTCAGCAAGTGCCCGTTGTGTACAGTATTCATGTGTGTTTCTTACTAGCAAGAGTCATTTGTATAGATGCATTTTTTTCATGGACATTTGTATTAAATAAACTAAACACTTTTGTTGATCTCAAATATGGGGCTGGGGCTAAATCTGAGAAGCATTGATAACTGAGACTTGGAGGACTATTGTTAGAAATAGTATTTGGTTGAAATCCAGGAAAAGACATAAAAGGGTATTTGAAAAGTATAGTGAAATTGAAAGATAAGAATTGGAAAGTTATTGTTTAAAATACTAGATCGGAAATACAGGGTAAACTGTAGGCATTTAAGTGCTTTCTTAATATCCAACCCAAACAGGGGGAATCTACAGGTCATGGGACAGTCAAATATTTCAGAGGGTGATAGATAGGCTGCATGCAGTTGTGGGATGTAGGTGAGTTGGGGTTAGGGCCAGTTCTAGATGTTTTGGGGTCGTTAAAAGCATCAGAAAGCTGGGAAATCCAGTATTACCACCCTCTAAAATGTTGGACTGTCCTGTAACGTTATCTGGGGTATTATTTTTTTAACAACAGAACTGGCATATTTTAAAAAAAATGAGACAATTACACAAGGACATTGGGTTCCAACTAAAACAGGCCAGGTGAA